CAATTACTAACTAAAGGCTATAGTTTAGGCTCACTCATTGTCTTTTTCATTCTAAGGTTTTGACAAAATGCATGAAGTCACCCATTCCTCATGCTATGATTACACATCACAGTTTCACTATCCGGAAGCATCCACCAACATCGACCTCACACTTCCCACACTTTAGCTCTTGGAGGCAATCCTTTTACTGCCTCCATAGTTACCCTTTCCAGAACACCATATACTTGGGATCAGATTGATTTATTTCATTAGCAACTACCATTATGAACATCATCTCCATGGATTCCTTCATACTTTCATGGATTGATAGCTGCATTTTTGTCAACTAATACACACACACACACACACACACACACACACACACACATATGGCAAGATTTAAAAAATCCACTCATTGAAGGAAATCTCGATTGCTCTCAATTTTTGGCAATTATAAATAAATGAAATTATTATAAACATTTGTGTACAGATTTTTGTACAGGCATTCCTTCTCAACTCTTTTCAGTAAATACCAAGGAACATGATTTCTGTGAAATAAGAGTATGTTTGACTTTATAATAACGATACTGCTAAAGTGTTTTCCAAAGGAACTACAGCCTTTTGCATTTCTATCAGCCAGACTGAGATTGAATGAGGGTTCCCACTGCCCTACCACATTGGCTCCAGCTATTGTGCAGTGGTACAATCACAATTTGTCTTTCCATTTTAGGGAGTTAGAACCTATTTTCAGCTTGTGACTACTTTTCTTCTCTCCTCGATTCACTTTTATAAAGAATAAAGTATTTTTAAAAATGGAAACATTTCTTATATGAAGCATTGTGCATTTGGGATGGAATCTGGAGCAAATAATGACTGAGGACATGAAACACAGCATTGTACGGATAAATCACAATGTGTTTATGCATTTACTTGTCAGACATTTGAATTATACCAGTGATTGCCTAAATATAAAATCCTAGAAACAGTCTAGCACAAATATTGATGTGAATAGGTTTTTATTTCCCTTGGATAAATAACAACCTAAGAGTGGAAAGACTAGACTGAGTAACACATTTGTGTTAAACTATGTAGCTATACAAATAAACTGCAATGCTGAAGTAGTTATCATCTATTTTTATATGAGCAATCTAGTGCCTCTACATCTCTCCCACACTCAGTATGGTTAACCATTTTGATCATACTAATTCTAGCAGGCATGTGACCTGTAATTTATATTTCCCGGTTATAAGGGTTGGTGTGCATCTTTCCACGTGCTTATTTGCATGTGTGGTCATATACCTGTTTACATCACTTGATGTTTTTCAGCTTTCCTCTTTTGTTTTCAATGAATGTGACATTCAGAAGAAAATTTTGGTGATGAATACGTTTATTGAGTTGATCAAAGTGATGGTGGTACCTTTGTGTATCTATACAAATACATGTCCAAATTCATGAAATTGTGCACTTAAATACATATGGTGAGTCAATTATTACTACATTGGATGGTCCCTATTAATATTTGGTGTTTTTATGACAAGTAAAGAAATTTAGTCAATTGAAATAACTTTGTAAGTAAATTTGAAATGGTTAATTTTAGATACTTTTAGGTTGAGATGTTAGTTTATCAGGCTTAATGTCTAAGAGAATTTTAAGTCTGTCATTCTTACCAAATTTATAAAAATTTGCTATTAATCAAAAAATAGTTGTTCACTAAATAGACAGGTGAAATAGTTGGAAAAAAATTGTCTGTAAATGTAATCTTAAAGGTCTTAGGACACTTACCAAGTACTGCTTAGAGGCTATTTAAAAAATTGTTTATTTTAAAATGTTGTATGAATGGAGAAACAAAATTTTCAAGCTAAATTTAATTACTTAAAAAGATGTATCAATTATATTTCAATTCTTTTTTATTTGACAGCAATAATATTATGTTTGTCATTTTATTTTTTTATTCTTTTAATTAATAAATTTTTATTGTGAAAATACCATATAGGGGGGTTAAATTAATGAGCAAGGTAATGAGTACATTTTTTATCAAGCATTGTTGCCTCCTCCTTTGTTTCCCCTTACCATCCCCGCCCTCCCATCCCATCCCCCATCCCCCCCCACCGCCAAAGTTGTAAAGTTCATTTTCCGACATAACGTCTTGTACATCTCATTGTTGCAATGGGTTCACCTGTATCCCTATTTAAGCAATTCATTTTTCCCCTCCCCTCGACAAATTATACCAACATCAAATACAGTGAAAACAAGGGTTATACCATGGGGGAAGAACATACAAAGCAACAAAGAAATCATCTTATAAATATGTTAGAAACAATAGCAAGAAAGAAAAAACATTTGAGTCCTTATCTTGGGGTTCGTTTCGCCTAACATCAACTTATCTGACCATTTCTGCTTGTCTCAGACATATACTTGTTATTGCAAATAAGGGAAACCATGGGACCTGTTTGTCATTTTAATGTACAATTATCTGTCCTATTACAATATTTAAGGTTTTTATTTTATGTCTTTTAAGATACATTTAAAAACAAAACAACACATCAACTGCAATTGTGAAGAGGAGAAAAAGCATGGTACCCAACTGAATTTCTACATTCATTAATACTTCACTCATTCTTTAATAAAGTTTTAAGAATGAGCTGGAAATACCTCTAGGCATTTCCTTTGAAGCTCATGCATTGGTGATGTAAACAGCAGAAAACACAGGGGCTGCCAGTTGACCAAACTATGGAAGCACAGGCGTAATCTTCCCCTCAGACACACCCTGAATGGTGATGGAAACAAGCTCAAATGTGTGTGTGGGTGGGTGGCATCACTCAAAGTAGTTGTATTCATCTGTGGACACTTGACTGTGCTCAATGTGCTGTTTATCAGAACATTAATACATTTCTTGATCATGCTGGTACTGGGATTAAACCTAGCTTTTGACTGGCCAATTCACCTCTAGAATAAGGGCATTGTACCAAAACACTTTCTATGAGTTCATTATTCACACTATAGCAGCTTGGTGATATATTTTCCAGTCCTCATCTACAGCAGTTCTAGTCTGTTCCAGTACCTCTGGTATATCTTTCTGCATTGATGCAGTAATTTTAAATTTTGTTCTCTTGCTATTGCAGGTTGTTTTTAATGAAAACGGAGATTCTGCACCCATGTCTTCCTTTTCGGAGTCATGGCTAATCATTTCACATCCCTTAATGATTTGACCATTTTGATCAGCTCCTTTTCATTTGTCCATGTGCTGTATCGAAGCTCTTTGTAGCTGACAGTGTCACTTGTTAAAAGCAAGAATTTCCATTTAGTATGTTGTAACCATGGCAACATATAGTTTGCCCAAAGAGTTCATTTTCACTTCAGCTATACAGAGATAATGTAACCTGATAAGTTTCCTTCCACTGAAATGCTGGCTATGAAATAATTCAAACATCTGTATACTTTTTTCTAATTCCTAGAAAATTGCAAACGTAGATGAAGGAACATGAGTAAGAGGCCAAGTGCCAGTCTGTAGAACATATCTCCAAACTTATTCTTGTGTCTTGGTTTTTGATAAAATTGTGAACCTACTGTTGAGATTGGCACTGGCAATCATATCTGTATACATCCAATGTAGCTTGCTGGTAAACTCATAACCACAGGCTTGCTTTATTTTACTGCTCATGGATTTTTTGGAATCCATAGACATGGATAACCCATGAATTAAAACATTTTGACAACATTCTTGCATAGAAAACATCTTTATCAACATATTTGAAAATAGTAATGAAACTTGTGAATCTGTCTTCTACTTCATTCTCAGTCATCTCTTCTGTTGACATCTTAAGCAAATTGTCACAGTACTTAGCAAGCAGTCTTAGTGCTTAGCAAACTGACTTGGGCAATCTGTAACTTATAACTGATATAAGGGACTTTTTATCCACTGCACTCATAAAATGCTGGTAACCATTCCAAACAGTGTTGATGAACTGAACACATTTACCACGTACTTCCCAAACTGACTCCACAAATAGTATTGGCATATTTTCCTGACACCCTCATTATGGATATGGTTTTGCAGCTCCTGAATCATGGAAGGTAAGCCAGAGGACACAGCACAGAGTATTTGCCAAGTTATTGTTTTACTCTTGTCAAATGATATTATGACAGGCTGCATGTAAGAACCATAAGTGGTCTGCTACCATTCACTGTTGACATTCATGGATCACTTTAGCATATGAATTCAGATTTACCATTTAATCTACCTATAACCTTTTCCACATACTGTGAGCAATTTGCTTCTTGTAACGTATTTGAAGCTTTTTGTTTGTAATAGTCTTCTGTTTCAATCAGAAAGGGAGAATTCCTGATAAAACTTTAAGGGAAAAATTGTAATACTGTTCAGCATGACTAAAGGACTTAATAAACCCATGGATTACTTTCTGATTGGGTCTTTTCTGCCACAGTCATTTTTAGTTTCTTTGAGCCTCGTTCCGATAAGGATTGTCTGAAGCGGTTCAAGCATTAATTTCCTTCACATTTCCAATGCTAGCACTCCAATTTCCAGAAGTGGTTCATTCATTTCTACTCCACCATCGCCATATTGAAGATCTGGTGTTGTAATACCTATATAAGCAGTCCATATAGGCTGCACCCTTGCTATGTTCTTCTCAATACCTATGATGCATAACAAGTACTTGTTCATCTGATTCCAAACTCTTATGCAAATGCTGAGCATGATTTTGCAAAATAAAATCTATGTTTCGGTGTAAAGTCTATCTCTAAGATGTTCAGGATAGGCCACACACAAAGCATAGATATCTGAGAAACAGTGGTTCCCTGTTGATCTTTTCACATACTCCAACATGACAATAGCTTTGGTTGTAGTTAGGCACTTGTTCCATGATTCATCAAAATCCACCACTCTTGGTTTCGATGACATTGTGCAAGTTTAGTGCTGAAACCTGCAGAAGCAGAGAGAGGGGCAAGGGTCAAGGGGAGGGAGGTAGCCCTCAGGAGTAGAGGGCAAAGCCTGGACAAGGAAGATGGGTAGCCTGGCTGTCAGCTCCTGCTCCCCAGCTCACAGGTCTGCCATGACTGCAAGGGGAGGCCACCTCTCGGGCCTACCACCTCCAGGACCTGCTGCCTCCCCGGCCTGCTGTCTCCACTGGCCAGAGTGTCACAATCTTTACTGCCAGGTAGTTCTGAAGAAGGATTTGATGACAAAGATCAGAACTTGTGGTATTGACCAGTAAGCCCAGAGAGCCAGGGCAGACAGTTCTTTTCCACCAGTCGCCAGACAGGTTCCTTCAAATATCTTTCATAGAGACAATGAACAATTACACCATCACTATAAAATCTGTACTTAGCTGCCATAAAAATATGTTGATAGTCTGTAATCTGCAGAGTCAAAGCAGGGGGACTCAGCCCATCTGCCTGTAGAATATGACAGTGCTTAATGCCACCCGGCGTGGGTGTGAGTGCGTACAATCTTCTACACAATATGGCCCTTATACAAAGCACAAACTCGACTCAGACACGAATTCACAATTCCTCCAAGATGTATAAGGCTAGCACTTTTTCTACCCTTTCTATCTCTTTGCAATGGCCCACGTTTGCCAAGTCCTGAGACTTGGTTTCTCTTAACAAAAAAGGCACTTGACTGACGTTGTCAGAGGCATGTAGATTCTAGTTGTGTGTGATCAGCAGCCTGGATCTTCGATGTTCTAAGGTATCTGAATGAACCATTGCTCATTTCCATTTTATCCTTGGCTGGTAAACAGCCATTAGCTTACTACCAGCAAAGAAGGTTTATCAAAACTATCAAATTAACTAACAATTAACTAGCAAAGAACATATTCTTATTTAAAGTTGTAAAGTCTAAACTCCTGAGCCTGTTTGTCCTCATAGAAAGTTTCAACAGTTGAGACACAGGAAGTAATCTATGAGGGCAGTTTTAATTTTTGAAAGCACTTTCTTGTCTAGGACCTAAATACTACCTGGATAGTCATTCTTTGGTCTGTTTAAAATAAGGGGCTGACAGACCCAAAGAAACACAGCTCCCATGGTTTCCCTTATTTTAAATAATTACTATACATCTAGGATAATACTAGCAGATGAGCAGACTAGCTCAGTGGCTACATACATATGACCATATAAGATGATGCTAAGCGAAATGAACTCTAAGACTTGGACAAAAGAGGTTTTTCTTTCTTCTTGTTGTTGTTTTTAATATACTATATGATTTTTTTGTTTCTTTTGTATGTTTTTTCCCCTCTATGGTATAATCCCCTGTTGTCACTGTATTTTATTTTGGTACCCTGGTATTGTATATACATTTATTTGAATTAGGGAAGGGAAGGGGAACAACAGAATGGCAAGACAAAGGACAAGGGGGAACCAATGCAACAGCGATACTCGTAAGACAATATGTTGGAAATGATCTGCACAGCTTGGGGGGGGCATTGGGGAAGGGAAAGTAGGAGAAAAATGAGGGAAGGGGTAACAAGTTTGACAAGAAATGTACTTACTACCTTCCTTATGTAACTGTAACCCCTGTGTATATCACCTTGACAATAAAAAATAAAATAAAATAAGGGCTGAGGACTGGTTTGGGACCAATGTTCTCTGATCCTGATGCAGAAAACAAAACAGCTTGGATTAGGTCTGTGTTTAATTTGCATTTGGACACACTGTAGCTAGCGGAGAACAAAATAGGGTGGAGATTTGTGGCTTCAGTGGAAATGAGAAAGATGGGGTGAATAAACATTGTGACTTTGAATTACACAGTTTTCTTCAGGATAAAGATTAACCTTTCAAAGAAGTTGGGTAGCTTTTTGATGGTTTGTTTGGTTTTCTCTGATTTTAAATGGAAAACAATTAAGATCTAAGGAAGTCTTATTTTACTAAGCAATCTTTCCTTGCAGGTCACTGGACAGATGATCACAACTTTACTTTGTTTCCCTCCCTGATCTAGATACACTGCTGTAATCTGAAGGAGTCTAAGCACAGAGGCCACCATTGTTTGGTAAGGCATAATGTAGTAAATATGTTGTGGATCATAATTAAGCAACTTTGTTGGCATAGTGCAAGAGCAGCCATACATCTATGAACAACTGGCTATATTCTAATAAATAATTATTTCAGAAACTGCAGAGCAGAATTTACCCATGGCTGTACTTTGACTACTTCAGTGAGTCAACGAGGATTGCTGTAAGTATCATCTTAATGATGGCCTCAACTTTTTAAGAACTGTTCTGTCCAAGTATATGACTTCAGGAAACCCCTTTTCCTTTTCTTCATACTTAGTATGAGTACTGTCTGATATTATTATAACCTTAAAAGTCTCATGTATTAGGGCTGGGAAGGTGGCTCAATGGTAGAGTGCTTGCCTTGCATACATGAGACTCTGGGTTGGATTCCTCAGCACCACATAAGCAAAAAAAACCAGAAGTGGTGCTGTGGCTCAAGTGGTAGAGCGCTAGACTTGAGCTGAAGAGCTGAGGGACAGCGCCCAGGCCCAGAGTTCAGGCCCCGCAACCGACAAAAAAAAAAAGTCTCATGTATTTAATAGCCAAATAATTGGGGCATTATTATTAACTTAGAGCTTAGTCAATTATTTACAGAGTGATAACATAAGCCTAGGTCTATTTATTTTTAAAAGGTCATGGCTTAATTACAATTGAACTATCCCAATTAAGCCTTAGATCTGAAGGCAGTTTGCTCACAGCTCTTCTGTAGCTGACATTGAGTGAGTTCCCTATGGGATGTCTCCATCTTTTTCTGGTATGGTAATTGAGGTTTCTCTTCATTATTTTGTTGCTTCTGTTGTTCTGTTTGTTAGTTCTAAACTTGTGTTTGCATTTTGCTCAGCCATTGGAATGACATCATTTAAGGAAACAGCTTTCCTTTTAAACCTGCAATTAATCAAACTTCACACACTGAGGAGACTACCCTGGTAGATGGACTACCTGTTTCTAGTGGTGATGTTTTCTTATACTTTAACTTAGAACTTTCATGTTGCATTTTGTAAAAAGACAAAAGAATATTTTTTTAATATTTCTAAGCTAAATGAGGAATAAGTCATACATGTGCATTATGAGAGCCATGCAAAGGCCTCTAAAAGTACATTTGTAATTTTCTAAGATCTATGGACCTCAGATATTTACTAACACAAAAATAAAAGCAAAAAGAGGAATCAGACTGTGCCCATTTAAAAATAAAGCTCCTCATGAGATGTCTTAAGAATTATGTTTAAGTTAGAGCTTTACAACTTTACTAACACATTGATCAATGGTGAACAGTAAGTTTTGGTCTGTGTGTGTGTGTGTGTGTGTGTGTGTGTGTGGTGTTAGAGACTGACTTCATAACTTCATGTGTGGTAATCTGGCACTCTTGCAGCTAGCTACCTGCCCAGCCCACAATTGTTTGGATTTAATTTAAAGATGAGATTGACAGGTTGGAAGAAATGCAAAATTTATTACTGTAGCTAGAAACCAACTTGCTTCATTATATTACCATATAAGTGACTCCATATGATTTTTTTTGCCTTTTGCTTTTAGACTAAATAAGTTTACTTTTATACTAAGTAAGTTCCTTGGTTATTTAGGTAAAAGATCCATTTCAGAAAGAAATAAAAAGAAATTCTCTGAAATTATTTCCCATGCCCTTCTGGAAATTCTGTTAGAGGAATGAAAGAAGAAAGTGATACAGATACTGAAGCTAGAAAGACACGTAGTGGAATCCAGGAACCAGAGGAAGAAAATGGAGTTTAAGACAAGGGAAATGACTCTTGAATACAGTTGAGAAAGTAGGAGCTGCAACTGAGAGAAAAAAAATCAATTCAGAGACAGAAAATGGGACCTGTTAAAAAGGTAAGGAGAAGTCTGTGAAAAGAGAGACTGGAAAAAAAAGAGGGTGGCAGAGAATAAAGGGAGGGGTATCCAGAAAAGGAAATGGAGATGTGAGAAGCCTCTACAGAATGCAAAGGGTGAGTCAGTCAGTCAAAGATAGAAAGGAATCCATACGTGGGAGAAAAGTCTCAGTAAGAATTGGTGAGAACTAGTCTGTATGAAAGAAAATACACTCATTACCTGACTTTGCAATCCTTCTATAGATCACCTATAATAACAATAAAGTACATTTATAACCAAGAATTAGTAAGAACTAGAAAGAAGAGGCTCATGCTCTGGGAAGGTGGCTCAGTGGTAGAGTGCTAGCCTTGCATGCATGAGGCCCTGGGTTTGATTCCTCAGCATCACATAAACAGAAAAAGCCAGAAGTGGCGCTGTGGCTCAAGTGGTAGAGCACTAGCCTTGAGCTGAAGAGCTCAGGAATAGCACCCAGGCCCAGAGGTCAAGCCCCACCATCAACAATACAAATAAAATAAGATAAAATATAAAAAAAAATTTAAAAAAAGAAAGAAGAGGCTCAAAGAAAAAAAGGAGGGTGGAAGAAATGGAGTTAAGAACACCTCTTTTCTTTCTATATTTGAGGTTATTTCAAGAGATTAAATTAACTACAATAAAGAAGTTTTATTTACTCAGAAGGCATGTGATATAATTTTAAATACACTCAAGTCAGTATACATTGTTACCCAAACAGACTGTATGAAAGTATGGCAGCCTTGAACAAGCTCCATCAGGAATGCTTTTCATTTCATTAGCATAATGACAGCATTTATATTTACTTGTGGTTTTATCATTGTACATCTGTATTAACCCCATTATCAGTTTCTTCCTGAGGGTTTTAAAAATATCTTTTTAAAACTTCTCCCCCTCACATAGCTTTGTGACATTTTTCTTCTCTCTTCACTTCCCTCAGCCTCAAATCTGATGTCAAGTATAGGGCACAAAATGCGGGAGGAAGATATTAGTTATTGTGTCTCATGACTACCTCTGAGTTGGTTCTATTCTGTGTGTGTGTGTGTGTG